TATGTTCTGATTTTGTAGGGTGGAACACTCTGTAAACATCTATTAACTTCATTTATTCAAGAGTTGATTGAGCGGCTCAGGCATTCCATGAGTGGAAGCGAGGGACAGTGGTGTGGTACATGTGCAACAGAGAGAAGTTATGTGAATCACTGCAGGCTGTCTTCATTCAGAGTCACCTTGATCAAGGGACACAGATCTTCTTAAACAACAGCCTTGAAAAATCAGGCTGGCTCTTTATCCAATTATATCATTCTTTCATGTCAACTGTTTTTAGCCTGTTTATGTCTAGAACATCTATCAGTGGGGTGCTGGGAAGAGGCTCAATGATTGTGTTTTCACCAGATCAGTTTCAGAGACTACTTAAAATTAATCCTGACTGGAAACCCCATAGACCTCTTGATTTAGGTGCTGGAGAGATGGAGAAGTCACAAAAATCATGAGCCCTCATTTTGAAGAAATCTATGCCACTGAGCTTTCTGAAACTATGGTATGCCAGCTTCAGAAGAAGAAATACAGAGTGCTTGGTATCAGTGAATGGCAGAATATAGGATTCCAGTGTGATGTCATCAGCTGTTTCAATTTGCTGGACCATTGTGATCAGCCCCTGACTTTGTTAAAAGATATCAGAAGTGTCTTGGAGCCAACTAGAGGCAGGGTCATCCTTGCCCTGGTCCTGCCCTTTCATCCTTATGTGGAAAACGGTGGCAAGTGGAAAAAACGATCAGAAATTTTGGATATCAAGGGACAGAATTGGGAAGAACAAGTGAATAGCCTGCCTGAAATGTTCAGAAAAGCCGGCTTTGTCATTGAAGCTTTCACCAGACTGCCATACCTGTGTGAATGTGACATGTATAATGACTACTACATTCTGGATGATCCTGTCTTTGTTCTCAAACCAGTATAAACACTTGAAGGCCAAAGTCCACCTTCAATATCCACCCTCTAGAAAAGGGTCTGTGTTCACAGTTGTGTGATGGGAGGACCTTTGGGGAATTCCATTCTAAATGTGCTGTAGGAATTTAAAAAGCCAAAATACTAATTATTTCTTTGTAGTGTGTAAAGGAATGTTTTTTAAAAACAGAAACCCTAGCCCACTGCAGACAAGCAGGTCTGCGCACGCCCTACCGAGGTCCCGAGTCATGCAGAACATGCCGAAAAAACAGAAACCCAACTCTTTGTGGATTTTTATCAACTCTTTACTCAGAGTCACACTCCAATGCAGGTCACACTTCAATTACGATGGAAGATATTTTTTATACTTAATTGCAGTAGGGACTCACTCCCAAAGCAATAGTCATGGCTTCATGGAACCAATACATGGATTGTTTTTAATAAAATGAAGACTGGCAATAAAGTTATCCACTCAGTTCCAAATATTGGTTATAAGGTGTAGCTACTGATACTCTTTCATGTTCAGAAACTCTTTCTGTTATTATTCAAGAAAATGTTTTTAATCATGCAAATAAACTTTTTGGAGAGGAAAAGAGTTTGATTGAGTTCTAGTATTTTGCTGTTTATTTTTTATGTAGTTGATCTATCTATTTGTGACAGTGGGATATTGAGGTCCCCCACTACTATTGCATTAGTGCTTATTTGATTTTTCATGTCCATTAGTATTTGTTTTATATAGTTGGGCACACTAGTGTTTGGTGCATAGATATTTATGATTGTCATCTCTTCCTGTTGGAGTGTTCCCTTTACAAGGATGTAGTATCCTTCTTTGCCTCTCTTAATCAGTGTTGGTTTGAAATCCACTTGTTCTGCAAAGAGGCTAGCTATTCCTCTTTTTTTGGGTTCCTTTTTCATAGAGTATTGTTTCCCATCCTTTAACTTTCAGTCTATAAGTTTCTTTTTGAATTAAGTGTGTTTCTTGTATGCAGCATATTGTTGGATCTTGCTTTTTGACCACTCTGCCAGTCTATTTCTTTTGGTTGGTGAATTGAGACCGTTAACATTGATGGTTATAACTGATATGTATTGACTTATCTTTGTCATGGCTTTTTCTTTTGTTGGATTCTCCCCATTTGCTTTAATTTCTTGTCATGCCTGATGGATTTATTCTGCTGTGCTTCCTGGGGTTGTAATTTTTGCTCATTGTACTTTCAGTACAGTACTGTAGTTTTATATTCTGTGATACATTACAGTACTGCATATAAGGGTTATGCAAATAAAAGCAAAGTTATTAGGTTGGAGTTTCCTTTGACCATTTCTTTGTTCTTAATATTATAATGTACATACTATATACAATTCCTCACTTAGCAACCAATTAATTCAATAACTTAGTCACAGGACTGAAACTGAGTCATTAAATGAGGAATGTCTATACTTCCAAAACTGATGTACAAATTTAATGTAATCCCAATCAAAATAATAATGTCATTTCCCTCAGAACTAGAGAAAACAATCCTAAATTTTATATGGAATCAGAATGGTCCCAGAGTAGCAAAAGCAATCCTGAGTAACAAAAGGAAAGCAGATGGCATCACAATCCCAAACTTGTTATACTGTAAAATTATAATAATTAAAACAGCATGATATTGGCCCAAAAATAGGCATGTAGATAAATAGAACAGAACAGAAGGACCAAAAACAACCCTAGCCACATACTATTTGGTCTTTAACAAGGGAGCCAAAAAACATATAGTGGAGGAAAGATACCCTCTTTAATAAATGAAGCTGGGAAAATTGAATATCCACATGCAGAAAATTGAGTCTAGGCTCATATATCTCATCATGTGCTAAACTAAAGTCAAAATGGATCAAAGATCTAAATATTAGAGTAGAAACAATCTACTGGAAGATAAAATAAGTACAAATCTTGAAGACAAGCATAGTTAAGGACTTATGAACAGAACCCCAATGGCATAAGAAACAATACCAAAAATCATTAAATGGGATCATATCAAATTAAAAAGCTTCTGCACAGCATAAGAAACAACCAACAAAGTGAAGATACAGTCTATAAAATGGGGGAAAAATCCATGGATGGGGGACTAACACCAAGAATATATAAAGAAATCCATAAAAAGCATTAAATCCTATCATATGCAACAACAAAAATCATTCTAAACAACATAATGTGAAATAAGTGAGGCACAGAAAGCCAAATACCAAATCAACTCACCCATGTGTAGAATATAAAGAAGTTTATGTTACCAAAGGTGAGAGTAGAACAGAGGTTACTAGAAGCTGGAGAGACTAGAGGAAAGGGAGGTAGTAAAAAGTCAGTAGATACAATATTATAATTTGATAGAAGGAATAAATTCGGGTGCTCATTGGCAGGACAAGGTGAATATAATTAAAACAAGATACTGTATAACTGAAAATAGGTAGAAGAGAGGATTTTGAATGTATTTACCATAAAGAAACAAGAAAAATTTAAGGTGATGAGTATGTCAGTTATTCAGAGTTGTTCAATACCCAATGTATTCAGGAATCAAAACGTCATAATATACCTCATAAATGTGAACAAATATAGCAATTAAAAAAATTAGTATCAAGAAAAGTGACAAAAGATAACAATGCTGGTAAGGTTGTGGAAAAATCCTTATAAACCACTGGTAGGAATTTTAATTATTAGTCATCATGAAAAATAGTATGGAGGTTCCTCAAAAAAAGTTAAAAATACAATTACCATATGACCCAGAAATACAAGTTCCAGGTATATATACAAAGGAAATGTATTCTGTGTGCTGAAGAAATACGTGGGCTCGTGTTTATTGCAGCACCATTCACAATAGTCAAGATACAGAATCAATGTAAATGACCAATGCTTGCATGAATCAAGAAAATGTGTTGCACACATACACAGTGGAATGCTACTCAGGCATCAATGAAAAGATGAATCCTGTCATCTATGACATCATGATGGGTCTGGGGAACACTATGTTAGGTGAAAGAAGCCAGGCATAGAAGGGCAAAACCTGCATAATCTCATGCTCATGTACAAAATAAAAAAGAGGCAATCTCATAGAAGTGGAGAATAGAATAATTATTACCACAGGCTGGACAGCAAAGGGGCAAGTAAGGATGAAGAGCTGGTCAATGTAGGTGAAATTACGTTTACATTGAAGGAATCTGTTCTGAAATTCTATTGCAAATAGTGAAAATAATATATATTGTTCACTTCCAAATAGCTAAAAGAGGATCTTGAATGTTTTACCACAAAGAAATGGTAAGTATTGAAGGTTATTAATATGCTCATTACCCTGATTTTCATTATTACTAATGTACACATATATTGAAACATCACATTTTGCTCCATATATTGTTATATTTGACATATGTAAATGAAAAACATTTTTTTAAAAAAATTGAAAACCAATTGAACTTTCATGTGTGGGTTCATTTCTGAGCTTTCTAACCTATTAAATTGTTCCTTGTGTCCATTTCTTGCCTATATAACACTGTTTTGATTACTACATATTTGTAATATATTTTGACATCAGATAGTATGAGACTTGAAGTTTTGATCTTTTAGTTCATGATTATTTTGGCTGTTCACGATCTTCTTTAATTCCATGCAAATTTTAGGATGTTGGTCTACTTTTTTTGAAAAATGACATTGGATGGTTTAATACAGATTGCTAAAAATCAGTATATTGCTTTGGCTAGTATGAATAATTTAATAAACATTTTAATGAGCACAGGCTAGCTTTTCATTTATTTGTGTCTTCTCCTATTCATTTCATTTTGCAGTTTTCCATGTATAACATTTACTGTCACTAAACTATGCAAATTATATGACTGGATCATAGAGGATATCCAGCTAGCCAGAAGAAAAAAAGTGAAATCCAGATTCTGGAATATAGGAAGGAGGAAGAGCTTCCCCATAAGGTATGGGGAAGGTATGTGTTTCCTTTGCATTTGAAAAGAAAATGTAATCTGAAGTTGTTTTTGGGTAGTACTCTATCATTGCTAATCACATTAATTTTATTAATAAAATACAAAGCTAACAAAGAAGAAGAAATCAATGTACTTAATAAAGAAAATGATCTTACACTGCTTTTGGCGTCATTGTGCAAGTATCTCCTGAGCAGTAGCAGGTATCAGTATTGTCGTAAATTAATCCCACATTAAGGCCCAGCAATTGCACAATAATGACAGCATATGACTTCAGGGACAAACCCATTGGATACTAAATATAAAGAAAATTAGAAAAAAGTTAACAATTATAATCAGTTATAAAATAAAGCACTATTGAATGTAATGAAAAATGAGTGTACTAAATACATATATGAATGCAATTGTAGTACAGTTAAACTGTTTGATGACAGACTTGGATACATGGATTTGTCAATGGAGCAGTTAAATTAACTCCAAAACATTATTACTTAATGACAACTGAAAATATCTTAGCAAATCTTACAGTTTTAAACACCATATTTGTATTTCTTCTCTGAATTACTTAAAACAAAATGTTTTTAATCTTTTATTTTAATAGTTAATTCTACATTCCTTCTATTGCAGGCAGCTTCTGAAATGTGCGCCAGACATCCTTGCTTCCTGAATGTGATTCTACTCCGAGTGTGGGCTAGATTTGACTTGCTTCCAATTAGCAGAATGCAGCAGAAGTAACAAGTAATCACTTCTAAGGTAGCTTATGAAAAGGCCAGTTTCTTGGCTTCTCTGTCTTACAGTTTCTTTCTCATTCTAGGGGAAACCAGCTGATATGCCATAAGGTAGGCAGTGGGAGAGACCCACATGAGTGAGCTTGGAAACAAGATTTTCTGAGGTCAGTCAACAGTTGCATAACTGAGCATGAAGGAGATCACCCCTCCCCCTCCAATTGAACCCTCACTTATACCTTGGTTGCAGCCTTGTAAGAAAACCTAGTTCTGAACCACCCACAAAGCTTATTCTACATTCCTGATCCACAGTACTGTATTGTTTTTATTTGCTAAAAGTTTGGTTTTAGTTATACAGAAATAGATAACCAGTACACTCTCAAAAGATATTGTTGTCCACCATAGTATTTCCAAATTCTGTTTTCTTTTAACAGTTATGCTCAGAAGATAGTGTTGTTATATAGGAAGAGAAAACAGCTATTTCCAATGTCTAAATAATTTTGAATTGTTACCTTGGAATGAGGGCAATAATGAAAATATCTAGGCTAACTCAGACTCCATATGCCTTTATTATTTACAGGCATTAGTTTGTATATTTAAGTGTTTTAGCAAATATTAATCCCTGCACCATGTAACAAAATAATACGGACAGCAGAACACCTCCATAATACTGAACAGCAACATTGCAGAAGAAAGTCGACCGATCTTATAGACTAATTGAAATTGCTGGTAATATAAAAGAGAAGCTGCTTTCTAATGGACCATGAGTAAGAGAGAGATGGCAGTGGGGGAGTGGCAGGTAATGAGCGGCTCAGAAGAGGAGGGGCCACAACTCATGAGGACGTGTGTAAAGTTTGATCTCCCATGTTTCCCTGGTTGCTTAGGGTTCAACTATAGCCACTAACAGGAAAGAAACCAGCACGGCCAACACCAATAAATGAATGAATATGCTAGAGGTGTCAGTCTAGCCTCCAAGGACAGTTATTTCACTTCCTGGAAGACTGAATTCATGCAGTCCTTCCTTTCCTCATCCCAGCTTCTGATCCAAAGCAGTTCTGAGAACAGAAGTCAGCAGTGGAATATTATACAGGTTTTTGGTCAGATTTTCACAATTCCCATTTTCTCTACTATACAGAACACATAGAGATCTCTTTTTATTGGTACAGAATACCAGCTAATTAACTAAAATCCCAATGAATCTCAAGAAAAAAAGACTCATCTGATGAGAACAACCACTGTAAAAGACTAATTGTTGATTAGAACAAAATCTTATTAATGATGACATAATAAAAAATAAAATACTTAAAAATAAATTTAACAAAGAAGATATAATATCCATAAACTGAGAAATATAAAATATTGACAAATGAAATTAAAGAAGTTGCAAATACATGGAAAGATATATCATTGTCATGGATTAGAAGAATCCACATTACAAAAATATCCATACTACCCAAAGTCATAAGCACATTCAATGCAATCACTATCAAAATCTCAATGGCATTCTTCACAGAAATAGGAAAAAAATCATAAAATTTGTATGGACTCTCAAAAAAAGAAAAAATAAACATTAGCCAAAGCCACTTTAAGTAAGAAGAACAAAGCTGGAGGCATTTCAAATTATATTACAAAGCTGTAATAATCAAAACTTTACAACATTTACATAAACATATAGGCCAATAGAACAGAATAGAAAGCTCTCAAATAAAACCATGTATATGGTCAACTGATTTTTTTTTTTTATACTGGGGATGGAACTCAGGACCTTCCGCTTGCAAGGCAGGCAGTGGAACTACTGACCTAGATCCCCAGCCCCATGGTCAACTGATTTTTGAGAAGAGCAGTGAGAATACTAATGAGAAAAGGACTCTCTCTACTATAAATGGAGTTGGGGAATAGTGGACATTTACATGCAAATAAGTGAGTAAAATTAGACCATTATCTTATACTATATACAAAAATGAATTCAAAAGACTTAAGCATAAGACCTAAAACCATAAAAACCCCTAGAAGAAAACTAAGGAAAGACTTCTCAACATTGGCCAAGGCAATGGTTCCTTGAATGTAATCACCAAGTCACACACAAAATGAAAAAGACATGTGGGATAATATCGGACTATAAAGTTTCTTCACAGGAATTGAAATAACCAACAATTGAAAAGGCAACCTATGGAATGGTTGAAAACTACATATATAGATATATATGTAGATGCAAGTGTAGATATATATGGATAGATATAGATACAGACACAAATATAGTGTTAATGTCTAAAATATATAACAAATTTTTGCAATTCAACAGAAAAAAATTAATTAATGGATAAATCAATTTTACAATTTACAAAGCCCTGAAGAAGTAAAACATTTCTTCAAAGAAGGCCTACAGGTAACCAACAATATAGGGTGCTCAGCATCACTAGTCCTCAGGGAAATAAATGCGAATGGAAACCACAGCAATATGTCACTTCACACTTGTCAGAATTTTTGTTTTTAAAAAGATTAAAAGTCTACCAAAATAATGTGTTCATAGGGGAAAAAAGGATTCACTGTTGATGAGAACTTCAAACTGGTGCTGCTATTATGGAAAACAGTAAGGAGATCATGAAAAAAATTAAACTAGAATTGTTATATGATCCAGCAATCCCACCTCTAACTACACATAGGAATGGAGAATAATGAAGAAATACTGCTCTCTTGTGTTCATTCCAGCATGATCCACATATGATATGTCAGGTACAAAAGTAAAGTATGTAATGTTATGTAAATGGTATAGCAGATATAAAGTTATGTAAATGATATGTAAAGTTATGCAAATGATATATCAGATACAAAAGTAAGTAAATAATATGTCAGATATAAAAGTAAATAAAAATAACACCACATTCACAGTGAATTTGAAGTAGGTGAACTGGAGGATCAGTTGTTATGAGGGAGAGAGCCAGCATTTTAGCTTCAGCCTGGCCAGTGGAATGGGTTCCCATTCCTTCTACCTTCCCCACAGGAAAAGGAACATATATATTGAGATATTGTGCAAAGCAGGGCATCAGAAAAATTGAAAGTTGGGAAGAGGTGTATAAGAGGACACCAGTGGGCCCTTGCGAATTTGAAAAGAAGCATGCCATTGCAATTAAGGACCTGAATATGAGCCCTGAGAAACTGCAGCCCAGGGGATGCTTGACTGATCAGCTTCTGTAAATGACAGGACTCTGGGGAAAGAAGAGGCCAACCTGATGCAAAAATAAGTACTCATCCCTTTCTTCTCCAAACACCAGGACTGCTGTGATCACAGGATGGCCTATATGCCTCTCACACCTGCTGGCTGGCACTCTCAGGGGAACTCCTAACACCAGCTACTAGAGACTCCTCAAAGCAGAGAGTGACACTTTGGGGACAGTGACTAAGGAAGTACTATAGGCATACAGACAGAGGAGTACCCTGGTCAGAGGGCAGCCAGGGACATGTAGGCAGAAGAGAAAACATAGAGGCAACCCCAGGATTTGCACTGTGGAAAGAACCAGGAACCAAGAGGACCCTTGTTGGAAGTCAGCAGAGAACTAGGTGCAGGGCCTGGGCAAATTACACCATACCCTCCTCTCCCCAAAATAACAAGTGGCTAGATCTTAAAAAGAAAACAAAGGCCTACAGTTAGCCACACTACAGTTAGCCACACTACAGTTAGCATGGGAGGCAGGGCCTGAGAGTTACACCAATAAATGAGCTTCTTGATCACAGGCAGGCAACTGAGCAAACCAAAGTGCGGAACCAACTCAAGAGACCTACAACTGAACTCAGACTGCAGAATAAAAGAACTGTGAGGATGTCTTGATTTGATGCTTTTGCAACTAACTGCCTGAGGTTTATTCGTTGTTATTGCTGTTTGCTTTTTATTTCTCCTTCTTCTCTTTCTTTACCTTTTTTTCCATTTTTTTTCTCCCTCTTCTTTATTATTCTCTCTGCAAATCTATCTTATTCCTTTATCTTATTCCTCTCTTCCTTTCCTCTTTTCATCTGGCATATATGTAAGAAGTGTCTACATATGTGCAAAGGAGAATAAAAATTAATCAGTGTTTTAATTTAGTAACATTCATGGGCAAGTCAGGGTAATCCTCATCCAAACTGTGCATGGTCTATCCACACATAAGCTAACTACCAACATATTAATAGATTCTGAAAATCTAACAACTTCCCTCAAACTCTAATTACCTTTCCTTCCCTATGCATCCCCTCTCTTGCTGCCACAAAAATTCTTTCAAATCCCCAACACTAGCCCTTTACTTCATCTATAAAAATAATTCCAACAGAACCTAATATCATGTCTGTTTTTCTTATCTACTGCTATTTCTCCTCTCCTCTTCTTACTGAATACACCCTTCCTTTCCTTTTTTCCTTTTTCCTTCCTTCATCCCTCCAACATCACAGTCTCTAAGTAGCAGTATAGTACACTCTATAAGGTGCACTCATAGAAGAATGAAACTGTCAAAAAAAAGTTTTATTGTACATGATTGATATATGGTTGGATCTCTTGGCATTGAAATAACCAGTAAGGATTCTCTTGCTGCAACACATAGGG